TACGTGTATTATGCACATTAAATCCTGTGATAGCTGAAGTTGCCTTGATGCCATCCCCGTACGGGTCAATCTTGTATGGTGGATGCGGTCATAATTTCATCAATGCCTGAATTTTGTTAGTGAATATCTTTTTTTTTTTTCCATTATGAGTTTTCATGACAACACTTACTTGACATTTATTTGTTATTTTTGTGTGCAGACAAGTTTAATTTGATTATTGTAGCTAATGGTGATGTGAATAAGAAACATATTTTCTCAGCCTAACTGTATTATATGTGCAACTAATCTTTTATTTACATGACATAATAAAAAGTTTTTTTTTCTCACTTGATCTGTTTATGACTTATTCTTTATTATGGTATTATTCTGCCTTTGTTATTTGTCAAGCGTGTGTTCTGAGCACTCTTCTGGTGAAACTTGGTCACAACGTGTACCACAGCTCAATAATTTTCACCTGTGATACCTACGAAAGACACTTGGCATTAAGTGGCAAGTCCTTTAGGAAGAAAGTAGGAGCTTTGAGCTGATATGATATAAAACATTCTCAGAATACCATGTGTAAAGAAGAAAGAAATACTGACATCCTGAAATATCTGAACATCAAGGAAGATTGGCCAGTAAACAGCATCTTGTCTCAGAAACAAAGATTTTGGCCCTATCAAGTGCCACAGTGGATTGGAGAAAATATTAGCAGAAGGCATGGTACCTAGAAGGAGGAGCAGGGGCCAACCAGCTCAAAGGCAGACATAGGATATACATAACACCTAGGGTATGAAAATGCACGAGATGGGAGAGACTGAGTTTTTCTCTGGCAGACTATGATAGGAGTGATATTCTGCATTGGATCTGCTACATGATGATGATTAAGTAGCAAGACAACACCGAAAACAATAAGGTATTGGAAAGAGCAGGTATCACAAGTGTTTTCGGTGCTGTCTTTGAAGGCTCAGATGGGCACAACACACTTGGAAGATGACAGCATCCACTGTTGTGAATTATAGATGGGTAGAAAATTTCTAGGTCGGCTTCTACTTTGATATAAAGATGTGTGCAAGCAGTACATGAATATACAGGTAGGGAGGTGGATTCATGCAAACAGGACTGCACTGCTTGATGGGGGGAAATCAGGAAGTGTGGATGAAAGAGAAAGTGATTGCAGATAGCTTAACAGCTGAACATCTAAGAAGCATATTAAATACATGTGTTGGCAACAATGGTCTAGAAATTCCATGCTCTAATTGTGAAGTACTTTTCTTAATGAGAGTGGGTCTTGCTAATCACTCACATCTACATAGGCTATGCCTCTCAATAGAACACTATAACACTTATCAGATGGAAATGTGCCAATGAAAATTATTCTGCCTTTCCTGTGCAGAACCTCATCCATTCTAGTTATTTTTTAAACCTGTCAGTAGACAAAATAATACTGTTTATATGTGTATGCCTGGCAGATCTTTTTCATTAAATGCATTCACACTGAAGTTTTTTTTAAAGTGACGCAACAGATTGATAATTGCTTTTACTTTTTATAGTCCATACCCGTGTTGCATTTGTAGTCATGACTTTCAACAGCCTTCTGTCTTGTGCATTTTAATGTTTTTCCTTAAACACAAGGATCCACCAACCCATGATGCAAGACTAGAATCTGCTCTCTTGGTCTCCATTTGCCGTTCTCTTCCCATAATTACATAATTTAGTTTTTCTTTTTCACTCTGTGACCAAAACAATTTATATTATCTTATTTTCTTATGCCTGCCAGTTTCACATAGCCCTGACCAGGAGGTTTCTTGCTTCATTTGTCAATATTTTCTTTGTGCCCCTTGGCATCATAGTTTAACAGATGATAAATAGCCAACCTAGGGCATGTTTGGTTGCTGTCAAGTCTCAGGCTGTCAGTGACTCTCTCAATCCATATTCTTCTAGATCTTCCTCTGCCTTTTGGTGTTTCCATTTTCATGCTTTCACTACCAGCATAACGATTTAATCCTTCAAAGTCAGAGTACATCTGCCTGAGGTGAATAACCAACAGTCTGCATGCAAATAGGCCATATCTGTAAAATGAATGTGCATGCACAACTCAATACCAAAGTCCAGAAGTTGATCAATGGGAACTTTCCGCTGAAGTATAAGCCAGTGATCGCTAAGAGAAAAAAAAAATCTACTAGGCGTCTGAAATATTCGGTTTTTTTCTTTCCTCAATGAATTTTAAAACAGGTATTGTTCCAATAGTTATTAAAATCTCTTCATTTCTCAAACCATCTCTTCTGATTTTGTTTGCAGCCTTTCTCAAACCTCAGTTCACATGTGGTTAGTTTGCTCTTGCAGTCACACTCTAGTTGTCTCCTGCTGTCCACAGAATTAACACCTTAAGGATGAGAACACTGCCTGTAAAAATTCTGGTAAACCTTGTTATTCTGAGGCCCTCCAATGATTACAAAGTAACCTGAAGTCCAGACAAGGCAGGGAAACCTTCTGACCAGTCAGGTTTTCTCTTCAGTTCTTTGGATAATGTCCAAGTCTGACCTGGTAACCCAAAGTTGGAATAAAGACTGCATCTATAACTTTTCTTTTCATCTGCTGGAATAGCAAGTGTTGCAATACTAGGGTAAGCTGATACATGATCAGTAGGGCTAAATATGCTATGAATATATTATACAGAAGTTAACAAATATGCTTTTTTTTTTTTAAAATTACAACAGATGAGAGCCGCCTGTTGATGTGAGAAAGATGGTTGCGACCAATGTTACATTTGGATACACCAGGAACAATTCAGATATCTAAACAAACTATGTCAACAACCTCATGAACCAGCCACATAAAAAAATATGCAAGGATGGTCATTATGTCATTAGGCAGCCAAATGAGTTATTGTGCCATTTGCACCTGGCAACATGGCACAGGGGAAATCAGTAAAACAAATAATTCCCGAGATCATGATGAAGTGAAACATGAGAAAAAAGTAAAAGACACTTCATGTAGGAATCATCTTCTCAAAGTCCAAGCCATGTGGTGTAGGTAGTCATGTCTATCCACAACCTTCTGTCTCATGTACTTTTAATCAACTCTGACAAAGAGGATCTTCCATGTCAAACTGTCCAGCATCGGTTCTCTCGGTCTCCTTCTGCCTCTCCTTCCCTCCCCTCAAACTTTCCTACTATCACGATGTACTCCAGTTTTCTCCTTCTCATCACATGACCAAAGAATGTAGATTGTCTCTTTCTGATGTGGGCAATCAGTTCTCTTCCTGAGTCAGTTTCAAGACATCTTCATTACTCTATCTGTCCAGGGTATTATCATTCAACTATAAAACCACATCTCCACAGCTTCCAAATAAGTTTTCACTAATTTACTAACTGTTCATGATTCACATCCATATATCAATATAGGATTTAGGTAACATTTAAGAATTCTCTTTCTCGTCTCAACTGACAAAGAAAGACTGCATAAAATCTTCATTTTGTAAAAGCCTGCCTTTGAGCTTTTCGACATTTAACTTCCATCTTCCATCTGATGTTATCAGGGTACCCAAGTACTTAAACATATCAACTTGCTTGAGGTTTGTCCCACTTACTTTGAAGTTGCATTCTGGATCTTTGCATGTAGGGATACAAACTGATTACTCCCAAAGAAGTTACAAAATTACAATATAACAGATAACCAAAGACACGGTGCGTTAAAAACATTGATTTATTTTCTGCTTTAAAATGCCTGTAAATTCACAAAAACAGCACCAACAGATCAACGTTTCAGCCTAGAAAAATAACATTTTTTGCAATTAATGTTGCTGCTTTATTTTTAATACTTCCACATTACCCACCTGTTTAATTTTTTTTTAAAAATTATATTCAGAAACCATCCTTATCCCTTTTTCGACAGATTTTAAAACCTTAAAATTCACATACATATGATCACTACTGGAAGCTGCTCCTGCCAGACAGGTGTCTATATCCCTGTCATCTTGAGAAGCCACAAACCGACACTTTGGTTGGGTCAAACCCCCCATAAGTGCAGCTTTAATGACTTGCTATACTAGCTTATTCACAAGAAGCCTAGCTAATAGCACTGGTTCCGTTTGAGCCTGCACAAACATTTCAGAATGACCCCAAATGTTTAGAACGGCAGGAAATATTCGATAAAAAATAGCATTAGGGAAGATGTGTGTCTTATGAAAAAAATGGCCGTTAGAAATTATGGCATCATAATTTCCTATCAGTTATAGTGGTGATCCGGCAAATGGTAACATGGTGAAGAATGAGTGACAATACTAATGTTTTTATTCTCAAAGATATGTAAACTGGGTTAATTCTCTGCTGTCTTCATCTTTACTGATCACCCCTCTTTTTCTGTATGAATTTTAAAAAAATCTGGGTTCATAAATGGAATTTTCAGAAGTTGTTTTGTGGGCCATACAAAATCGTTTTAAAAAGATTTTTATTCTGAAAAAAAGCCACTTGCTTTTTTTTTTTTTTTAGGTTGCTGGGTGCAAAAAGGGTTGAACTAGCAACCAAAATACAATGTCAAAAGGTTAAAGGTAGCTAACTCAACATTAATTAAGCATGCTTGTTTGTTGACCACCAGAGGGCTGCAATGAGAAACATTATTCAAGTTCACAATTTCTGTAGTAAATGAAATAACTTTTTTTTCACTGCAACTGATCTTTCTATGTCCTTATGGTTAATCCCTATTTTTATAAGCCTTTATTAAGTTCGCATTTGTTTGTTTGTATTTTACCTTTTTTTTGTGGGTGTGTGTTCAATTCTTTATATTCCTACAGGTACAATGATCTGAATTGTATTCTCTATTCCAGTATGGTCTGCATGCTATCACACAGCTGGAGTCAGAGCTCTTGTATCAGTTTCCAGCTGTCTAATCTTCTGTTCTCCTGCTGCCGGACACTTCAAGCCTGTGACCAAAGATGATCAGCCTGGCATATGATGCTGTATTTCTGCAACACTTTAGCCCCTGTTGTGGCAGCAGCAGAAAAACATCACGGAGGCAAATCATGACACTTCCACGGCTGAACTGACTTGTGCCTCCTCGCTGTCAGTTTTCTCCTTCAACTTGAGCTGAATGTTCTCATCCAATAACAGGAAACATTCTGCTGCCTTTGATGCTTCTCTGTCCACTGAACTTGATGAAACATCTGAATTAGAATGTGAAATAAATAAAACAGTTTAACAGAAAGTCATATAACCACAATATGCACACATTTGACACGACACATGGGGAAGAGCTTGAGAACAAGACATTAGACCCACATTTGCATATACTGATTGGCATCTATGTGAAACACTATAATCTGGAAGATTTGGGGAATGGCACAGACACATTAATACTAAGAATGCAAGAACTGGGAGTAAAGATTGGCACAGCCAAGCATGAGAAGCACACTGTCTTGTTAACCGCCTAGGACTATTATTTTTGGGGTGCTGGTGTATATGTTGAAGGGGGAATGTGAGCATCTGTGGGCGTGCTGGGAGATAACCCAACTCGTAATAACACTATAATCTACCATATATGCCAAAAAAGGCAAATAATTTGGGATGGGTTTGAACAGCTAAGATGAAAAATCTAACCCAAAATGAAAAAGTCAATGAAATTAAAGTTGAAAAAAAACACACAACCATATTGCCATGTAAATGCCAGTTTTGCAGCATCTTGGGTTCTTGGATCAGTTGCCACTTTGCTTATATAACAGCTCTGGTACTGTCTGCAATTGCACGGTGTGTACATAAGCTGGGTATGATTATTTTTACTTTAAAAAAAAGTATTTCTGGGGGCGAAATAAATGTCTTTTTTTTTAGTCACTTTGAGACATCAAGATGTCACTGTGACAACCTTTTATTCCATGTGGCTAAGTTAACTCACACCCAAAATGTGGACCAAAGAGTATAACCACGTTAGTTATCAGCGACATGTCTGACTACTGATTCACTTACTGCAATACCAGCAGGAACATTTTTTGAAAATATTACAATTTATTTTATTAGTCACTTGGGGGTTGCATTATCGCACTGGTCATCACAGTGGTTATCTCAGTGGTTATCGCAGTAGCTAGGTCACTTAACTGTCCGCTCAGTGGTCCCAGATTTTTGTTTAAATTGACTAAAAGTCTGACATTTTTTTCATTTTGTTCTCTCTAGTTTCTTACATAAAAGTTTTAGAGAGTAACAAGGATGTGTTCCTTTCCAATGTGCTTTCTGAAAACACCCTTTTTTTTTAAAGATCCTTACAGGGGCAAAGGCTTAAATGAGACTTTTCTGGAAGAAGCATTTCCCGCCAGGGAGAAAGCCATAAGGAGTCTGGATTCTGAATTTAAATCCTCTCATTGTAAAACAAATTTTTTTTTTTCAAACTCCAAAACTGCAGTTGTACCTGAAACGCAAGAAAGGAAAACCACATGGCATTCTCCTCTCCCCCCCCCCCCCCCCCAAATGGAGCCGGGTGATATATATGGGAGAACAATAAAGAAACCTCAGAAAATAGCAAGGAGAACTTCATATGAGTTGGCTAAAAGTCTCTGCTCCACTGGGTGACAAATGGAAGAAGAAGAAGAGACAGCTGTGTGGCTGAGTTCATTATTATTATGCACCAACTTCTTTGTAGAAAACATCTCCCCCATCCATCGATCCTTATCTAGTTCCCTTGCCTCATGCATTTCGAGCATCTGCTTTCTTCGTCTCCCTTTGCCCCTCTTTTCCTCCAGATTTCCCACTGTCATGATGTATTCTATTTTTCCCTTCTCACACTAAGCAAGATAATATACATAACAGCTTTGGTACTATTTGTGACTGCATAGTGTGTAGATGGGCTGGGTGTGATTTTAATTTGCTATTTTAAAAAAAAAAAATTTCAAGTACTTTTGGGGGTTAAATGCTCTTTTCAGTTCCAGCCGCATGGAAATACTCTGGATCCTAATCTAGTTCCCAGACCTCGTGCATGTTCCTGCCCAGGATATCTAAATGTTCCATGTCCACCATCATGTTGGTCAGCCACTGCCTTCAAGGAACCAAGCATTCTGTTATTTCTAAATTACTGTCATGTTTGCTGTCATTGTAGTTCTTCAGTTTCAGAGACAATGCTGTTGATGTTTTTTTGTTTGTTTATTTTTCTTCAATGTTTAGCTCTTAGAGAATGTCTTCTGGTGTTGCTTGTGCCGTCTACTTCTTTCTTTTATTTATATGGTTACAAGTCATTGCCTATGAGTATATTTCTCATGTTATGTAAATGTCCAAACCCATGAAACAGTTGCTGAGAAAAATGGCAGCCCAACTCACCTCTAGATCTGCCAACCAGCAGCTTCATGACCAAGTCAAGCAGGCAACCATCAGCTGTCACACACTGTAGCACATCTGACTTCAGCTGCCACGCCATCTGTTCACTGAGCCCGGAGTCCTGGCAGTGGATACTGGTCAAAACAGATGCCACAATGCGAGAGGCCAGTTCATAAAATTCTGCGCCAGGTTTCTCCACAATGTGAGGTAAAGTAGCCTGGTGGAAGAACTGAATCAGGCTGTATGCTGATAGGATGTGTACTCTTGAACGATTAATCTGAAGAAAAACAGCATTAAAATCTATTTAATCAAAAGATTCTGGTCTCAAATCTAAAGCCATGAGTAAGAAGTAAATTTTACTCCACCAAGACATTACACAGAGTGATAAACACCCGGTGACACAAAGTGCCACCAAGCGGATGAGGATCACCCATGGAGAGGTCCCAGAAACCGCATTCACCCTTCAGGCTATATTGCAGCCCCAGGCAAAAGCCGGGGTGAGGCTTCAAAATAACGAAAAATTGCATCCCAAATGGAGACAGCTTTAGTTTGAGATGAGTTTGAATTATGGTCAAACATTTACATCTGTCAGAAGTCAGGTTACAAAAGCTTCAACTGTTTGTAACAAGACACCAATAGAAATAAGCATTCTTATAAATCCTTTGTGTGTATCTGCCATTACTGCTTGTTTATACCACTTCTGCTGTACAGGCAGGGGAGTCTTTGAGCCTGAGGACTTAGGCCCGCATGGCTAGTGCTGTTGCCATGTACTGCAGGTTAGGATTTTTTTTTCCTTGAGAGAAAAAAAAATACCAAACCTTACTGAGGATTCAAAGCTTTACCCAGCATGCCAACCCTGTGTTCTTAATCATTTAACCAGCAGCCCCTCTGTGAATAGCAACAATGGGGGAAAACACTGTCTTGATAAGATTTCTAATGGTTGCTTTGTAGACAGATAGCGGACATGATCCAACCATAACCTTTATGCACATACATTTATAGAATTTCAACACCTAACAAGTGCTGATTAGTCTTTGAAAATGTACGCAAAGCTCCAAATGCCCAATGCGTCTCAAGAAATGGAACACCTCCTGCTGTCATAGTGATAGATTATCAACACCGGCACCTTATTGAGAAAGACACCTAGGCTATGTAGACAACAAAAGCAGACAAGGACACTCATATCTTTCTATTTAATGTTTCATAAAAGGAATGCAGACTGCAAAGAAGCTTGAGATTCACAGCATATACCAGTACATGTAATGATCAGAGTTATAAAAGCACAATCATCTATATGATGACTTACTGACTGATGCATGTGAATGCACATAATACTTAATAATACCTAATACTTGTAACTATTGACACCAAATGCATTATTCCCTGTGTGGGTTCCGGGCCCTATTATAAGGAAAACAAGAATAGAACCACTGCCTACCCAAAAGCATTTCGTAAGAGTCAACTAATTGGGAGCTTTCTTCGAAGTCAGAGTGAATCTGCCTGAGAGGCAAGGAATCAACAGTCTGCATACAAATTAGTCATATCGGTCAAACAAATGCACACACAACACTCAGATTCTGAAAAAGGACTGCAATCCAGAAGTGGGCGAACAACCAGAACTTTCCGCCGGTGCACGCGGAGAAGAATAAAATGCATCTTCTTCACACATAGCTTGTTTTCAATATTACCCAGCTGGCTAGCAAATACAGATCATATGAAAATGTCAGATTCACTTACAAATGTCTGCTTCCACAACTCCTCAAGGTTGCTGAAGAACGTGAAAGTCTGAAGGTACCTTTTTGACGGCATGGCCGGAATGTAAAAACTGCTCAACTCCCTGGCCACAATCTGCAGGCAGAAATTAATATATGATTACAAACTGGCAAAATAAATGCTTGAGTACTAATAAAAACTGTTGAGATATCCAAGTTGTTTTCTTCGCCTAACAATGCTCATGTACTGTGCTGGGTGACAGACTGTATAACCCTTTTGGGGAAAATCAGAATATTCATAGTTTAAAGAGAAAAAAAAATGTCAAGCTAAACCAGATATTCATTAGTTGCTGACTTGGCATTAAGTGGCAAGGCCAGATCACTGAAAATCGGGCACTGGAAAGAGCAGGCAGTTTTCTCACTGCTCAGTTTTCAAAAGCTCAGATGGTTAGCTCACACTTAGAGGATGATACAGTCCCTAAGGACATCCTCAAGGGTAAATGACACATGGGTAGAAGATGTCAAGGACAGCCTGTACTACAATATAATGATGTATTCAAGCCGTACTCAGACACAAGTACTCAGATATAAAGAAGAAAATGACAGCAGATAGGCTAATAGCTGAGCATCAGATAAGAAACACATTAGATATATGCACTGGCAACAATGGTCCTGAAATTCTATGCACTAACTGTAGAAGACATGTCATAATGCAGCAGGTCTTGCCAGTCACACCCGCCATCACCATGGACTTTCATGTTTCCCTACAGTAAGTACAATATAACCTCACTGTCTGAAGAGATGGAAACGTGCCAAAAACTACATGAAATGCCTTTTTTACAATGACACAATATTCAAATCTTGCAAGCAACTGGTTTCATATTAAGTTTTTTCAACGTGAGGGTTCCGGGATAACATTGTGGGGAAAACTAGATTAAACCCAATGCCTCCCCAACAAGCATGTCATAAGAGTTGACTAACTGGGGGCTTCCTTTAAAGTCGGAGTGCATCTGCCTGAGAGGCAAGGAATCAACAATCTGCATACAATTAAGTCTGATAAACTTATGTGCACGCAACACTCAGGATCTGGAACAAGACTAAAGTCTAGAGATGGACAAACAAACAACCAGAACTTTCTGCTGGAGTTTACAGCCAGTGAAAGCAAAGAAGAAAAAGATAATTTTTTTATTTAGTTTAAGAAAACAAAGCTAAACTTCTCTCTGCACGTCCACATCTATGTCTGCATTGTGGAAGATTAAACAAATAAAATGTGTCTGGTATACACTGATCCCCTTTATCATGACATGTCATTCTCAGGGAGCGGAGGCATATATCTCTTGGCTTGCAAGGGTGCCCTAGACTATGCAGGGACCAGGTTGTAAAGAGAGAAAGCTGTTTGTAGGCATTGTAAATACTGACAAGGAATCAATACTGCTGTAGTGAATCCATGACCTTGTCACACTTTAGCATGCTTTTTCTCAACAGTTTGTTTTATGCATCTGCCACAATGATACGCCCAGGGGGAAAAAGAATAGACTGCCTCCATTACAAGCATGTCAACTAAATAGGTGACTAATTAGGGATTTTTTTCTTCTAAATAAACTTTCAGAGCACTACTGCCTGAATGGTGAGGAACCAACAGTTTGCAAAAAAGTTAAGTCAGACCTGTAAATGGATGTGCATGATGTAATAATTCAAGTTCTGGACAAGCAATTGGAACTCTCCACCAGAGTTTACAGCAGGTCAATGAGAAGAAGTTTCTTTTGGCAACTACATACTTTTGCTAAACATTAATACAGTTGTTGGAAACATTCCTGGAACCCACTCTTTGACACCTCTTTCAGCTACTTTGTTGGATGGCAATAATGTTTTCAGTATCCCTGAATTGTTTACCTTTAAGTCTATGCTAGAGAATAAGGACAAATCAGCCGGTGTCGGGTAAGGACAATATTGAGGATGTTCCAGGGCAGTCACATTTAACATTGTGATGTGCTTCTTTACCAGTAGAGATCGATGTGATGGTGCAAGGCCAGACAGCAGAAACCAACTGTTTGTTCAGAGCGTTCCTCCACCTTTATTTTCATTAACGCAAACGCTGCCTTCAAGGAAACCCAAGTGTCACTTAAAAACTTTCATTTTCTTCACTGTGGTATCACCATATGCTTTATTAAGCATACTCTCTGAGGGTGATTTCTCAAATAAGAACACAAAATCTGACATCCGTGCATGGCTCAACCAAATACATTTTTAACGATGCTACATGCACGACACAATCTTTTGTTAGAGAATAAATGTCATGAATGTCATATCTGCCATGTCATTTCGTCAAGGTCCTTATTAACTTATAAAACTCTAATCTGCATGTCCTAATTACTAGTCCAAACATGAGTTGGCTATTCTGGGAACTTTTTGAAGCAATATCGTTTAGCCACAACTTTTATACTCAGGCTTCTGCTGCAATATTTTCAGCTTTCAGCTGTGTTAAGAACCGTTTATAGGCTGAGACAAATTAGCTCTTTGCTGATACAACACTAGAAGCCAATGACAGAGAAAAGTAGTTTGGGGAACTTACAGATGCAATTTCAACATGCCTCTCCCACTGATCCCCTTCAAGAGTGAAATCAACAATGAACAATCTGTCACTGTCTGCACTGGTACTCTCTGGTGGGCTAAGGGCATCAAGTTCCTCACCTGTCATTCCTAGAAAAACCACACAAAATGTAGAATCAGTAATCCACAGTAATGGACATAAAATGCAGTGTACACATAAATAAGAATAAATCAACTACAGCAAAGGTGGGGGTATACAAAACAAATATAAACATATAAATTGTTGGTTGACTGTTTCAAAAAACATCACAGTAACAAAAGACAGGATGATTTGAGAACAAAACATTATCTGGAAACAGTAAAAAAAATACATGAAATGAAGTCGGAAATCACATTAGCATAACTATATAAAGGGTACTTTAAAGGGTACATCAATATTATGCACCAAAATGAAATAAAAATAAGTAAATTGAAAGAAATGAAATATGAGATGCTAAACTTATCTTCAAATATACTACTTAAAAAAAAAAAGGTAACACAGCTGTTGAAAGAAACATAATTTTGACATTAAAAATCTTTGCAGTTTAATGTTTTGAAATTGTTCAAATTGTACGCAAGAATAGTTCACTCCACCGAGTTTTTATTTCGCACCTGAGTATTTGATAGTTTTTAAGCACTTTGTTTATTGTTGGCTTTCCCGTCAACTAATAAAAATGTGACAATGGATAACTATGCCATTTTTTGTAAACAGTAAATATACAAGGTGAACTCAAATTTAAGCCATATACACTTACAGGGAGGATGCACAAGTCACTCACAGTATCTTTCACTGATTTCATTAACAACAGGATCTGCTGACACTGTTAGAAACACACTAGCCAACATTTTAAGTTAGCTTTAACTCTTTAGGGCCCAAACAACGGTGTGAACGTAGTTTGAGAAGTTCCGTTCTGTCCAAACAACGGTGTCATCGTTAATTGTGTATCTCTTACATTTTGCTTCGCATGCGCGTTCGTACTAGTTTCTAATGTTTGGAGGTACGAATAACCTATTCAGGGAAAGTCACTCTGCCGAAATCCTTTTAGTTTCACTTCTTGGACTAAACCACACGTGGATAATTTGAGAGAAAAAAACAACATTTTTTTAACAGTTTATTTTCTAAGTTCGTTTTTGAGTGCACTGAATACCAATGTTCTAACCACAAGAACAGGTCGCAGAATGCGTCTTTCTGCGGCCGAAGCTCTGAAATTGTTTCAGTCAGATATTTTTAATTGTGAAAATGATGATAAAAATTTTGATTTTTCGGACAGTGAATTTTCACCAGTGAAGCTGAGCGATCAGCTGTTCGGAATCTAGCGATTCTGACGAGTTTATTACACAGACAATGTCCCATACTACCGTATTTATGGTGTAAGAGAAGGAAAGTGCTCTAAACAAAGAGATAGTACTATACTATGGCTAAGCTACATTGAAATCATCGCAGCTACAGTCTGTAAATAACTGTACAAAGTGAATAGTAAATAGTGTGTGTGTTATGGTTCATTTTTCTGCCATTTTTTCTCTGAAATTTTGCTTAGCACTCGGAGGGAACTAAGAGCCCCTGAGTGATAAACTAACCCAGAAAGTTATAACTTTAGAATATGTTAGGAAAATGAACAAACTTTGAAGTTTTGTTCTCAAATTTGGATATTTACTATTCTTGTGGCTGCAAAACCATGGTAAGTGAAGAATTTGTTTGTGAAATGTTGTCCTTGTGAAATTAACACCTGCTGAATTCTTCTTTTCTACTAACTATAACAAAATTAAACAAACACTTATCATCAGATTCAGAATGTACACTCATTTCTCGTTTAAAAAATATATACTGTTATAGGGATTAGAAGTATATTACAGTCTCTACAGCCTTTCTTGTACACCCACCCCTCTGCCATTTTTGTAAAGGGAAATTAATGTGGGCCAAGTCTGTCAAAATGCATGGGCCTGAAAGAGTTAAGTGTTACTATCAGATCAAGCCATTCATAGACATCAGCTTTTAGAACTCAGAAGCTCTCCGGAAAGTTTTAAATTCAATATTAGATGCCTGTGTGATATTATTTCTTAGCACAAACAATCTCTTTCCTGAAACGTACGTCCAGTATAGTCAACAAAAAGAATAATATAAACAGTTTAGATATGGGGAAACCTAAAACAGTAAGAAGAAAAAATTAACGTACCAATCTGCAGTGAGAACATGAATCTCAGATAATCTGACAGCTGGTTGTGCTTTTCTGGTGACATGTTGTTAAACTCATCTTGACTGGCCAATGGTATATTATTTCTGAAATATAAATCTAATGTTGATGCACGTAGAATACTAACTAACGGTAAGAGAGGATAATGGAATGTTTTTAATTTTCATTATTCTGAGATTAGAGTGACACCAGCTATAAAAAACAAAATCCTGCTGTTACTAGGGAATGATCCACAGACCACTCTCCTGGTAAGCTAGGACACTGTGGCAGAAATGGTTACCTAAAGTTGTAGTTATTGCAATGGTATAGGCAGATACAACAGTTTCATTACCTACAGTAATGCAGATTATCTGAATACTAATTATTTCAGGCACTATTCACAAGAAAATAGGCTGGACATTTTTTCAGAAGAAGAACAAATAGTCGCTGTGAAATTTCATTGCTTACCTTATACATGAAATGATGCTGTAGATGGCATGGCTGACAATGCTGCAAGACTTTCTGTGATGCAACACAGGTTTACCTGAGGGTCGACGGATCAAATACAGGATCTGTTTGAGATGATCCTGGTGTAATGGGGTTCCAAGGGCAAGGAGGGAGAACAGTTTCTTCTGGATACTTTCATCTGCACTAGTCAAAACAGCTTTCTGGGGATCTGTACATTACAAATTAAAAAAATACTGAGAAACTGTTGGCAATGTCACAACAGCAGATTTATCAAATTTTTTTTTCTAAGTGCATGTCCCAGTGTGGATTCTAGGGCCCCTGGGGGGGCGGCGGGGGGGGGGGGGGGGGGGGGGGGGGGGTCCAAAGCCACTGTCCCCTAACAAGCATATTGTAAAAGATGACTAATTTGGGGTTCGCTAAATGTTTTGGATAGAAAAGTGAATATATCACAGCCTAGCTGCGAACAACAACACACGTTAACCACCCTATAAAAGGCAAACACGAGAAGATAATCAAGCCATAAACAAATGGCAAGAAAACCTTTGTTGCTGGCATCAGCTGTTGTTTCCAGGTAGTGTTGTGCTATAGTGAGGTATGGGAAGCACACACACCCTTGGCGACTGCTGGTGTAACTAGCAAGACATCGTGTTTTTTAGAGTGCTTCTTCCAAGCTCAGCTTTACTTTCCTGATCTTCTCCCACCATACAACACATGTTGCATGGAAAAAGCCCACTGATAAGCACACATAACTGTATAGATGAATGCTTTTTTTTTTTCAAATCTAGCTCTTTCTTAAGATTGGCTGTGCTTGGTCTCAAGGCATGGTGTCCACCTCGAGTGCTAGAGGTTCAAGGTTCAATCCCCAGTAAGGGCTGGGAATTTTTCATGTGGACTTGGACTTCTAGTATTTCCCCTGATCTCTGGGTAGTGAGATCGGACGCCCGTGTGCATTACTGCGCGCGTAAAAATATCCCTTGGCAGTTGGAAATCAATTAGAGCAGCCTAACGGCGCTGCCCAGGCCAAATTTTGAGTTAAAAAATCTACCGAAAGTATTTCAGGATCCTTGCCGGTGCTATAGAGCCTCTGCACTGTGCTGAGCTTCTTCGGACTCAGACTTGAGTTAGAAGAACGGAGCACTTATGGGTTACTGCCCGTGTGCCATGATGTTGATCCATTGTTCAAACTTCAAACATGGTTATAAATAAAAGGTGATTTTTTTTGAGGTCTTTTTTAGAGCTCTAAAGTTTGTCCTGTAGGGGCGTTTATGTGGGCCAGATTCTTGCTTTGACTGGCAAAGTTGACAAATATCAATGTCAACTGAAACAAGCATGGCTGTAAAAAGAGGCACAAAAAGCAACAGCATATCTATATTTAAATATACATGATCATTTCTAAAGTGACCATTTTAAGCTTAGTTGTTATTTCCCACTTTAACCATCTGTTAGAATAATGAACTGTGGTCCATCTAGTTTTCATTTATCAGGCCCCCAAAAAGTGACATGTGAGCTGCTGTCAACTCGACAGAACCCATTCCTCCTATTCTGGACCCTTCTCTAGTTCTGCAGCCAAGGCATATCTGATTGTGTGCACAATATATGTTGTTTACACATTAGGTGCATGGCATCATCCCCATACTGTTGTACTGTTATGTCACATAAGGTTTGCAGTCTAGTTCTCCATTCTATTCTAGCCTGGGCAATTCTTTCACTATCATGGATGAGATCTAGTCCAGCATCTTTGGCCTCTCTTAATAACATTCATTTTAGGGTTGCTCTTGGACATCTTCCTTTCCTCTAGCCATTTGTTTCCTATTTTAGTGCCTGTTTAGTGATTGTCAGCTTAAACTCAAGATGTGCAAAATATATTGCCATTTTCATTCTGGTGCATGACATACAACTTATATTTCCCACGGCATCATTTCTAGTTCTTTCTCTTCTTGTGTGGTGACAGTTATTTTACAGTTTATTTTAAATGTAATTAATAAGTTTCCTAAATAAGAACATAATGTAGCTTTTTTCTTTCACTCACCTAAAATACTGCCAAGAGTGGCCACAAAACTGTCATGGAAAGTCTGGCTGCAGTTTCGGACATGGCCGTGTGTCATTAGAGTCAAAATGTCAGACACCCATTGTCTCTGGTTTTCTAAACTCGCAACTTCCAGAAGTAGATGTGGCAGGTTGCTGAAGAACTGCTCTAATACATCAGAAATATCATTGTTGTGTGTGTACCTACATGCTGGCCTGTGAAGAAATATATCAATAACACTTAAGAAAGGGTGATTACTATCAATTATATAACAAGTACCAATAATTAAGCCAGCAAAACATTAAAGCTTCAGAAGAGACATATCAAACAATGACACTGGGATATACAGTAATATATCACAGTGCACAGAATTTGTTAAAGTTAACAGAAATCAAATCTACTATAGACAATCTACAATATTCAACTATTAAGTCAAATCAGTACTGCGGTATAGAACATGGAGAACACTTACAATAACAAGTAAAAAATGTCAAACTTTAAGAACCAGTGCAGAACAAAAACACTAAGATGGAATTAACAAACGGGTTCATGTACTTATGTCTGGCTGATCCTCTCATAAAGTACATCCACTATGAAGTCTTGTAAAGTGATTAAAAAGATGTGACAATATACTTTTGTCGTATCTTCTCATAATCAATGCCATGTGACACTGGTAGTGCTGTCAATCCAAAACCTTCTGTCTTAGGTACTTTCAATAAATTCTGACACAGATGATCTTCCCCGCCCTGACATCAAACTGTCCAGCGTCTTCTGTCTCGGTCTCCCTCTGCCTCTATCTGAATCAAAAATCAAATAGGGATTATACTGAAGAAAAAAAAAAAGACATGCAGAATGTGACAGCTGGGCTAACCTCCAGTCCTGAAGAGTTAATCAAGTAACAGAAAGTGTATTGATCGGCACTCATAGAAAGAAGTAGAAAGATAGAAGAACAGTCCTGAAGAGGCAACATTTACAGTACTGGTGAAACCACCAGGATACAAATTATGTGTAGTCCTAATGAAACAACAGGGAACGAGATTAGAATTTCATGTCTCCATGAAAGTAACTGTACTTTTCCCGACCACAGCCAGATACTTATTGAACAGATCCTGTATCATTTCCTGTCTAATTGCGAATTGTTGTCATTACTGCCTCCAACTGACAGTCATTACAACATTCTGTAATTAAAAGCGTTAAAGATATATGTATTTTGCAACAATCACGGAATTAAGTTTTCATAAATATATAAACAAAGACTTACCCAGCACTTGAGTTGTCCCTCTTCCAGCCATCCCATGTTTTCCCCATGAAAGAAAATAAATGGTAAAACAGCTGTTTCTGTGGTGATTTACTCAAACACGACAAGTAGAACTTCAGTGCTGCTGAGTAGGCTTTGGTAAAGCTGGCTGAAAATGCATTTATTGTGTAAAAATATCATAACCAGTGAATATCTATCTCATCTCATATCTGATTATCTCATCTAATAACTGATGATCTCATCTCAACTTCACTTGGTCTTGTATAGTTTCAGATAGATCCTAAAGGTCTAAGGAGAATGGCACTGCAAGGAGTTACCAGGGGATCTGGCTGACACTCAACACTCGGGGGGAAGGATTAGACGGATATACAATCAAATGGTTACTGGTAACATCAAAAATGGAACTCTTCTCTTACTGCTGAAGATGTATCCTGTATACAGATGTATCCTGTATCGTTTCTGGTGTTGAGAGGGCGATAAGGTTCTGGTTTCGGCATTTTTGGCCACTTTGACCAGATTGGCTGTGCTGTTGCAGAGATCCTCAGGTATTATCTTTCCACCATGGTCTACTCCTTGTTTTACATCTCTTTTTCCCTTGTGTAACCAGGCAATGCATTGTCTCTGAGTAGGCTCACCACTTTATTTGCGGTCTTAGAACGTAACTGAGAACTCATTCTGGATTTACTTTTTCTCTTAACTTTACTCCTGATTTAATTTCTTCTAGTCACTCATGCAGCTTTTCTTAGAAATCACTGTTTCCACGGTAACTGTCTTTTCTGCTTTATTGTGAGTGACCATATCCGACTCTGGTAGCAATATGTGATTATAATGAAAATAAACAGACAAAGTGAACAATATGGATCAGACATTCATAGAACCAAAACTAACTAAAGTAATTAGCCTTGTATGAGAAATGTAAATGATATTAAACTACATGGAAAACCCCACAACTAGTAAATAATTTCTCCTATAAGTAACATGTAAGACTAATTGAAGCAACATATATACAACACAAATACAAAACTGATGAGGCCAAAAGAAAATTGTTACACAGTTTAAACAGCTAAAACACAAACTTCCAATCAGCTAAAAATATCTTGTGGCTAAATGCTGGTAAATATAAATATTCAATACACATAAAATCATAAAACTGACTCTAAATAAATGTACCATACAATGTCTAGACATTTTGACCTTACTGTGAATGTGAGCGTTGGAAAAGACATTCTTGAGAATCCTGGAAAGAATTTTACTCTGCTCCAAACTAGGAGACTTCTGCAATGACCTGACCAGAAAGGCTTCCATTTTCTGTAGGTAACTGGAACTTGGCTTGAATTTGGCATCAACACAAAAGCTAGACATGATGTCACAGATAGCCAGGTTCAAAGCCACCAATGAAGACTGAAAAGTATAAACAGATTTTCATACGAAATAAAATTATAAACAATCAATGATAATTCCAACACAGCCAGTATATACTATATTACATTCTACTAAACAATTACTTGCAGTATTAAAAGTATAGTCCTGCATACAAGTATATTAGGCATATGGTGCTAATCCATGTGTTTATATATTAGTCACCTCCTGTGGGTTCCAGGACCCCATTTTAGGTGGACTAGGGAAGACCCACTGCCCTTCACATAGCATGCAACACAATGTTCTCACCGCCCTTTTAAATGTGATCGCAGAACAATAGAATAATCAAAACTTGACGGTGATGTAGTTAATATGGCCATCACCAATACTTCAAAGGACATTCTGGTAATCTGGTAATCCTAGTTTCAGTTTCATAGCAAACAGGTCACCCCATAGTTGCTCAGCTCCTGTGCCAACAAAAAAACACACGTAGCTCAGTGTCACGCCATGCACTCAACTCAGAAGCTGGGTAATAAAACTATAAGGACATTCTGTTACTCATTTCTGGATTAGAATAAATGAGCGACGGGCTGGCAAGCAAACATGCTTTTCCCTGTGCAACGACAGTTCTTAAATTTATTATAGCAACTTAGGTATTTTATTAGATACCGACAGCATTGTGAATTATACTTTGTCAGGTCTCCAGTTTGATTTTTACTGATAAGTAAAATGCCCTTTTCCCCTCCTTTAGGGCATATAGGACTAGACCTATATTTTATAGACTAATCGGCACTTGGTGGCAACTCCTATTTTACTCCAAAAAAAATGTAATAATTCAAAGAGTTTTACCTCTATTTTTTTTCACAGCCCATATGTTTCCTAAAGTATTACTGCTTACCTCATGTCATTTCTGGAACACAACTATCTCACTATAGGCAAAAAAAATGTATGTAAATATGAAGGTTTATATCTTATTTTACTCTTTGACAGATATATAATGTGCACAGCTATATTAACAATGTAGAAATGCAAATATTTTATACAGTGTGCGGCAGGAAGTGGCCAGTGATTCTAGCCAATAGTTAACACTCAGAGGAAAGGCAAGACGGACATTCGATCAGAGTGCTCCCATCAGAATTAGAACTCTACATTGGCTGCTGAAGATGAACGAGGCAGAATGCTCAAAGGAGTGTCTTGTTTGCTGTGATATTGGTTCAAAGGTTATAATTTTAAAATAACTGGAACTTTTAAAATTATTTTTTTCCCACAAAAATCTTCACAATTTCAATAGCGAAACACAAACTTCCAATCAGCTAAAAATATCTTGTGGCTAAATGCTGGTAAATATAAATATTCAAGTTTATGCTACAGAAGTACAACAATTTTATTACATATTACTGATGTTTCATAGCAAACAGCAAACAACGAACAGCACTACTGCCCTAGAGCAAGAGGCAGACCGAGAGTACGGTGGATAGACAATATATCAGAGATCCTGAGGCAACACGGACTAACAACAACACGTGCAACACACCTGGCCCAGGATAGAAAACTGTGACTCCCCACTACGCTGTGAGGCAATTGTGGACAAGACAAGACAAGACAGATGTTTACCTGACTTGCACCTGTATCAACAAACTGGTGGGTTTTGTTTTTCTTCCTCTTCTTGGCCACTGGTGTGTGAACTTGAACTGAATATGGAAAATCGTTGAACAGCAGTTTTTCAAAGTCTTGCTGGTAGTTTTTAACAAGTATTTCTGGGGACACCTGCAAACAAAATAAATAATTTTACCTCTGAACAACACTGAAATTTTATGGTAAGTAAAAGACTATTCATGCCACTGATGCATAGATCATCTTCTCCTCTTGGCACAAACTCCGGCAGAAAGTTCTGGTTGTTCGTCCACTTCTGGACTTTAGTCTTGTCACAGAACCTGAGTTGTGCATGCACATTTGTTTTACAGGTCTGGCTTATCTGTATGCAGACTGCTGTTGGTTTCTCATCTCTCAGGCAGATGCCCTTCAACTTCAAAAGAAACACCCCTAACCTAATTAGTCAACTTATATAACCTGCATGTGGGGGGTGGGCCTACCCCCTTTTTACAATGGGATACCGGAACCCATTAGGAAAACTTTACAGACCAATCTGCACACGTTAGATGATGATGTCATCAACAACATTATTTTCTAGGATATTTCCTGGTACTAAGGCCAGGTCGACCTGGAAGGGTTAGATCAATTATAATAATCTGTCTCTGTATGTGGATTCAAACTAAACCTCACAGGTCAGCAGGCACACAACCATTCTCTATACTGTAAAGGCAACCAATATGCTGCTGAATGGCTTAAACGCAAACAATATGCTGTTAAATGACACAGAGGTAACCAATATGTTGTTGAATAACATCATCCACTGAGTATAGTGTGAACAGATGTATGTGTGCATATCTGGGATGATTGTATATTATGCACGCATTTATCATCGTTTCTGTGTACTTTACTTGATAAGCATAGTACGTATACTGTTATATGAACATCTATCTACAGTCTTCCTCTGTGCATATGAACATTCTTTAAAGATAAAATACAACTGCAGCATAAAAGAAGTTATTGGAAGGGCTGAGTCTAAGATAGGCCTGCGCTCCCAATTTTTTTCCCCATGTGAAAATTAAGTTTGTTTATACGGTCTTGTTTCATTTTTGAATGCTATAGTGTAAAAAATGCATGAATACCTAAAGAAGTGACTTACTATGTACACATCTGAGGAGACAGTGGAAGAATCTGTTCTCTGGGGGGATACACTCAGAACAAACATGAGCTGTATGACACATGCTATCAGGGACATCACTTCCACCGAATCTGCCGAAACCAGGTTATCTGCAAGATACAAGCATATTTCATCAATTTACCGAGACCAAGTTTTCTGTCGGATACAAGTATATTTCATCAAGTTCACCGAGACCAAGTTTTCTGCAAGATACAAGCATATTTCATCGTTCACAAAGTTTTCTGTAAGATATTAGCATATTTCATCGTTCACACCGTTTTCTGTAAGATACAAGCATATTTCATCGTTCACAAAGTTTTTTGTAAGATACAAGCATATTTCATCGTTCAAAACTTTCTGTAAGATACAAGCATATTTCATCGTTCACAAAGTTTTTTGTAAGATACAAGCATATTTCATCGTTCAAAACTTTCTGTAAGATACAAGCATATTTCATCGTTCACAAAGTTTTTTGTAAGATACAAGCATATTTCATCGTTCAAAACTTTCTGTAAGATACAAGCATATTTCATCGTTCACAAAGTTTTCTGCAAGATACGATCATATTTCATCGTTCACAAAGTTTCAGTAAGATACAAGCATATTTCATCGTTCACAAAGTTTTCTGTAAGATACAAGCATATTTCATCGTTCACAAAGTTTCTGCAAGATACAAGCATATTTCATCGTTCACAAAGTTTTCTGCAAGATACAAGCATATTTCATCAATTTACCGAGACCAAGTTTTCTGTCGGATACAAGTATATTTCATCAAGTTCACCGAGACCAAGTTTTCTGCAAGATACAAGCATATTTCATCGTTCACAAAGTTTCTGCAAGATACAAGCATATTTCATCAAGTTCGCAGAGACCAAGTTATCTGTAGGATATAAGCATATTTCATTAATCTCTGAAGGTAAAAACACTGCTCCATTGGCTGCTGAAGATGAACCACTTAAAGGAATGCCCTGAGTGCTGTTATATCAGTTCATATGTGCCAAAATAAACATCACAGCAGGGACCAAACTGGAAAGCTCTTTTTTTCCTCTCTAAAAAAACTATCAAGTGTGGTGAGGTGATCTGAGCAGCATCAGCCAGATTGAGAACCCCATCTCTATATAGGCTACACTATGTAAATTAACATAACCCTTTAAACGTGTTCAGAAATATAGGTAACCATGCTTATTAATAGTCTGCAGTCTGATCACTAAAAGTTATGTCAGAGAGGGCAATAGAACATGATAAGACATGTCTGTTGACATTCTCAGACCAAAAAAAAGCCTTTGATAGAGTCGACAGGAATATGTTGTGGGAATGTATGAGAAAAAGGGAATCAGCAATCATTAATATTTGCAAAAGCCTGTACACACGAAGTGAATGCTGCATAAGATCAAAGGCAGGGTTGTCAAGAACTTTTACAGTGAACTCTGGTGTGCGTACTATCGCCGCTTCTTTTTATAACATAGATGGATACCATATGTAGCGAAACAAACTTTAATCATGAAGAAGATATTACAAAATTACTATTTGCCGATGACCAGGTACTCATAGCAGAAAATACTGAATGCCTAAAGAACCACCTAAATCAAATTAGTAACAAAAGGGAGGAATATAATATGAAAATAAACACTATGGAGACAGAACAATGGTGATAGGAAGACAGAAAGACAATTTAGAAATAAAATTAAAAACAACACCCGACCCTGAGACAAACAGAGGAATTTAAGTATTTGGGAGCAATTTTCACATCCAACAGAAAACTGGACAGAGAAATTAGCCCAGATGTGCCAAAGCTAATCAAGAATGAGGCAACTATCTCCCCTGTTGACACACAAGCAGATACCTCGGAGTACTAAAGTGAATCTTATCAGAACTATTTTTTGGCAAACACTATGCTATCAATGCCAAACATGGACACTTACATCCTCCAGAGAAAGTAAAATTGTGACAACATAGATGAAATGCCTTGGAAGAGCTGCAGGAGTTTCAAGGAAAGACAGAATACGAAATCATGAAATCAGACGAATGCTAGGAATAAAGCCAGTCTTACAGGTCATCAAAAAACAACAAATGAAGTGGTTTGGACACCTAACAAGAATGCCTTGGCACTATCTGCCACAATAAAACGTTACAACGGGTATAGAGCGAGCTCATCATTGAACATTACTTCTCCACCCCGACACTTCCATGAGGTACAAGGTGGAAGAGAAGAAGAACTGTCTAGTCTATAAAATGTCAAATAAGTCATGCAGCTTCTTCTATGTTTATCCTTAAAAGTGGTTGATATGTGATACTGTGGTTTACTGCTAAGCTATGATATCTGCACTATTGGGTCAAAAATCTAATTTCAGCAAATGCTTACTCAACCCCCCCCCCCCCCCTGAGCCCTAAAATCCACTTGAAGCTGTTGTGTACTGTGCAGGCTAATGTGAGCTTGTATCACTGCAAGATATTGTTGAACTACCAGCTTCCTGGTGTTCTTCAGACTTCCAAACCCATTCTTCTGCAGCTAAAGGCTAAGTGGGGTAGTTATAGAGTTATTATTCTGCATTTTTATTTCAATAACAACAGTTCTGGTGAGGTGGTCAGTGCACACAGTTACCAGCACAGTTGCCTGGGGTACAATACTCAGCAGTGACAATAGTTGCTCACCTGATTAGTACAATGCTAAAATTTACCCAGCCTTATAAAAACAAAAATCCAACAAAGGCGGCTTTCACAACTGTGCAAAGGTGCTTTTTCAAAACCAGGACCATATTGTCACTTCTAAACCATCTGGCTGTGGGAAATATCATCATACAAATTTCCTAACAGCACATCTACAATTGTATATACTTACACAATTACTGCCATGATATTCAGAATTTCATAATCTACAAAGTGTTATCCACCTACCCAACAATACAAGAGCTAAGAAGCAACATTCTCTATGTGATTTCTGGAGCCCCATAGCGGGCCAGGGGAGAAATGCCTAACAGACCCACTGCGGCTAACAAACCTGTTGTAAAAGTTGTATATTTAAGTGTCTTTTGTAGGTTACAAGCATACTTCTTTTGAAGTCGGAGTGCCTCTACCTGACAGGCAAGAAACTAACAGTCTGCCTATCAAATAAGTTAGATCTGTAAAATTGATGTGCACACAACACCCATGTTCTGGAAGGTGAAAAAAAACTGACATCACAGAACCAGGGACATTCCCAAACATGTTCTGTTATCTTCAGAAGCCAGCAAAGAGTTTCTATACCACAATGCAAAATAATTATATATGTACATATAAGGTGTGTAAAATACATAAAAATGTCTAATCCTTTTTTTCTCCCAAACATGACATCCTTACCCAAATCAGAATTTGTCACACTAGCATGTGCCTCCCTCCAGCACTGTAACAGCACTGGCACTGACATTTTCATGAATGCATCCAGACTTGAAGGCTTGGTGATGTATTCATCAAGTTCATGACTGCAGAAATCAATGTTACATTTGTAGTAAGTACTTGCGTTCTTTTTGCTTTTTACTGACAACAGGAAATTCAAAAAGAAAAGATAGGCAGGGAAAAACCACGATAGAAGATATTAGGCAGTTCAGCGTCATAGCCTGGGGGAACATCTATATCCAAAATGATTCTTCTTCTTCTTCTTCTCTTCCACCGTGTACCTAATCGAAGTGTCGGGGGAAGATGTAATGTTCGTTGGTGAGCTCTGTCAAGAGCACTATTAAGACATTCTTAATGCCATCACTCAATTTTTTCCAAGGTCTTCCACTCGCACTATACCCGTTGTAACGTTTTAGTGTGGCTCGCTGTGGCGGATAGTTCCAAAATGATTGGCAGTACAAAAGACAGAACGGTTGTGGACAGTCAGTAATACCAATGGCATGTACAAAGACATATCTTGAGTTTCTTGAGTACAGGGCATTTCAGTCTGTTATATTATGAGAAAAGCTTGGAAGTCACTAATTTTCCTGTCTAAATAAGTTTTTCATTCTGTCACCTAGCAGGTTTCACAGCAAACCCTCAAGGGTGGAAGTAACCATATAAAATTTCAGGTACATTACACTCACTGCAGTGAGACGTGGCCACCGGAGTAGTCAGACTTCTTTAGCATCCTCTGACCAAGTGTGAAAAGTAATCACACACCAAGCATTACACAGGACCGAAAGAGTTTAGTGATATAAAGAAAGAAATGAGTCAACTATGATAAGTAATTTTTTTTTAATGTAGTCAACTTATCCTGTATGGAGAAACTAACCAAAGCGAGTTTCTCTTGAAATTACTAAAACATAATGTGGGTTCCAGGGCCCTATTTAAGGAGAAAACAAATAGAACAAATGTTCCCGCAACAAACAATGTCATCAGGGATAAAAAGCAAATAATTACCAACTTGTTGAGATCGGATGTGCTGGGCTGAAAGGTGCACTTATTGCAACCCAGATGTGCCGAACATGCTGATCACTTTTGAAAGTGTAAACGCAGAAGACTAAAACATATTCAGTTTTCATTAACTCATTCAGCCTCAGAACTTTTACTCATTCCATCCTTGTTAGTGAACAGTTTATAACACTTATGGAAACTACTGCACTTACCAATTGTGACCTAACCGTTAATTAAATATAAAAACAAAACAAGTGTAAAGGCAGAACGCAGAAGACTAAAACATATTCAGTTTTCATTAACACATTCAGCCTCAGAACTTTTACTCATTCTATCCTTGTTAGTGAAAAGTGTATACCACTAATGGAAACTACTGCACTTCCCAATTGTGCCCTAACCGTTACTTCAAATATTAAATTTAAAAACAAAACAACATCAACAGTGCATACCATCCTCCTAAGAACATGAAGCTGAATCGACTGTTGCCATCATAAGATTCCTTTAACAAGCAAGTATCCTCCTTTGTGTTTGGACCAGCATGGTCTCTGTGCAAACTCCAGGTCACATCTTTACTGGATTTTGAGGGAAATTCCCCTAAACCTCTATTTCTGACTTGATCCTCAAGAGCTTCCTAAAGAATTGTATATAGACAAAGAAACTAAATGTAAAAGGCATTTAATTAAACAAAATATAAGAAAAACATACACTCCTTCTGCTTTTTTATTTGCTAATGGAGCATAGAGCCTTAGCTCTCAGGCCAAGCCCCCCCTGATCTTTTTCTTTCCTCCGCTCCTTTGATATAAGAGTTTAAAAAAACTTGTCCATGCCTTTTAGGCATATCAGGGATAGATCTATATTTTATAAACCAACGGCACAAAATGGGGGATGTGATCAGCATCACGCCGGCTGCCTTTACTTCCCAGGACTGCACCCACTTAAGACTGGTCGACCTGGGAGCAACAGTCATTTTCATTTTAAAGTCTGGCTCCGGCAGGGAGCAAAACCACGACCTTCCGATCTGCAGATAAGTGTCTAGTCGCTAGGCCCCAGCAACTCCTGCTCCTTTTTAAATACTTCCCAAAAAAAAAAAAACACTCCCTTCTTCATATGCCCCACATCTTTTTCTATTTTTCTTTGCAATAAGGGTTCCAGAATCAGAATTTTCCAGTTATTCTTTAACAGGTTTCTCTAAGTTTCCTATTCAGCTAGGTCATTTGTCATTAGTGGGATGATGATAATGGAACCAGCATCACATACAATTGTGATGATAAACAACAGACTATTATTCAGATGTATTTTTCAGTGTAGCATTAATCTTACTAGACGATACACTTAAATTTATTTAATTAAAAGTTGCAGCCAAGTTTTTAATCTGAAAGACATCAAAACTTGACAGGACAATCACAAGCCCATGTGCCAACTGGCCTGAGCAATCATGCTTCTCCACAACAATATTCATCAGCTTATGTGCTAGCCCCCCCCTCAGTTCACACAGCAAAGCTTAATATTTGTAAATGACAAAAAATAAGCAGGTACCATGAATGTCCGCTTCATGCGGATCAGTACTTGAGCACGAAACTTCATCGCTGGCAGTTTACTATCAGGGTTGAGGCTGAGACGCTGCGTGGTGGAATCCCCTTTAGCTCCCAGGTAAGCAGGTGAGGCAATCAAGCCAACTAAGTTTTTCAACAGATCTCCAGTCTGCTGAACCATCAACTGGGGGAAGAGGTTTAGGAGCGTGTCAAACAACACTAGAGCATCCAGCTTAATGTCTTCATGGATATGGTTCATGGCACAACAGAGGTAAGCATGGATGTGTGAGTACAGACGACCTTCAAGTTTGTTTGAACGTTTGTCTCCTGGTGTCTTAGAGGACAATTTTGTCAACATCACCTGGGGAAGGAAAACAAAAATTACTTACTGAACAAGCAATAAGTGCACATTGCAATACCAATACATGGATGTTCTTTAATTCATCATTTAAAATATGTAAAATGAAAACATAAAAAGAGCAGCAGCTGTGCATATGCTGTAAATAGTAAGTAAGCAAAGGACCCTTTCCACGCCTTCAAACGTACTGGGCATATAGGGCCAGACCTATATTTTATAGACCAATCGGCACTTGGTGGGTGAAGTGGTCAGCATCACCCTGGCTGCCTTTACTTCCCAGGTTGTAAATAGTACTTTGTTTTTTAACCCTCTCGGGCCAAGAGTTTTCTAGTCTCTTCCAGTTGTGTTAGTCCCATAAATGCGGATGCACTGACCTGTTCTCGACACATGTACTTAAATTCCACTAGTCCTATATGCACCTGCTTAGTGTTTAATAGGCCAGAATATGATATGAATATACCAACTTAAAACAGCATTTAAGCAGGTTTTTCTTTAAGACTCCATGATTTTTTTTAAAGCCTAGATGATGTCAAATTCTCCCACAAACTCCAGTGATAGAGGTCACCATATAAGTCACCCAGTACATATTTCTTCTTTAGGCCCTGGAGAATATATTCCATTTAATTCTTCATTCTGTTCATGTTGTACATCTGTTCAAAAGTAAGGAATCTGCTTACTGTTTAAGTCACAAATGTTGAAAGTTGTCTTCTCTCTGAGCCAAGGACAGGTGTGGTAACCAAGATGAACAAAGAGGACACAAAACATTAGATCTACTGTTTGTGTCCTCCATGTTTTAATTTTACAAATAGGACACACTGCTTTGATTCAAAGATAAATCTGATTGTCCATCTCATAATGTTGTAATATACTTTATGCATATCATTTCTACTAATTCTAGGGAATACTTTTATGTACAACATACTATAATGCCACAACATATTTTATGTACAATTCTCAGTATTTCATACAACCAGCTTTTTTCATATTGTTGCAACATATTTTATGTGAAGTTTCACACTTACATCATGCAGCATAAGGTTCTGATGTACTTTATGTCAGATTTCCAGTACACCCTCTCCTCGACTAATGACCATCACCACTTGCAAACCCACACACAAAATAAAAAAATGAAAGTTCTTGGATCTGATGCCTGGAATAAAGCAGGGCTGAGACATCAGATCAGCATTTCTATGTTTTATGTATAATTTGCATAACCTCTTTGAATGAAAACAGTGTCAAAAAATATAAATTTGACTTACAACCTGTTCAACTTATGACCTGTCAATCAGAATGGAACTGTCTAAGTAGAGGTGACCATGTATTTCACATTGACCTGTCTTATAATACCTCGAGGCAATATATGAAGTTCCTACTATCTCAGACACCTACAGATATATCTGCTTTTGCTAAAAATCTTATTTTATTAAAATAATGACTAATGAAAATGCTCACAATTTATATTTTATTATGCTGAGCAGTATGTGATACTCAACAGTAACTACTCTACACAAAGATATTGATCCAAAAGACAGACAATTCAAACCTTGAACAAATTGATTGCAGTGTGTCTGACAACAGCTTCATTATCGATGAGAAGACTAGAAAGTTTCTTCAGGATTTCTCCATATCCATGGACATTTGTAGGCACCATAAGATCTGCAGAATTGTTCAGCCACAGCTCTTTCAATCCAGAAAGGGCATTAACACGGGCACTACTGCTGTGATGATCACACTGCCGAAGTAAGTCCTAAAGATAAAAATATGAGCTCCTATTTTTAAAAAAATCCAACATATAACCTTTATTTCATCAGATGTGAACTCCAGCAAAAAGTTGTTTGTCCATTTTCAGACCTGAGTTTTCTGTGCATTTCTGCTGATCTGTGAGCAGACTGTTGGTTTCTTACCTCTCATGCAAATGCATTTCAACTCAAAGTATTTCAAGAAAGACCACAGAGATTGCTATGATGCTGGCTCCTATATCTTCTCATTCACCATTTGTATAAAAAATGCAAGGTGTTAGAAGTGAAGATTTAGTACTTTAAAGTCACAACAGACAGGGAATACCTTCTTTATGAGACCTTAGCGGATAGCAAGGGACATCCACTGAAAAGAGGTAGCTCTTGGATGGAACAAGCAGAAGTCACAATAAGAAATTTTTATTCTGACAAAACAGCACATGGTAAGGAATGAATTATGTAGTCTAACAAAATGGCACTGGCGCCAACAGTGCAACAGCTGATCAATTAAAATTCGTGCCCAGGTGAAATCATTATATACAAAGGCGGGTCTGTAGTAGAAAGTAAGAAGAGTAGTTAGGGTTTTATTGCAAAGATGAATGGACACTGACTGAAAACAGAGAGCCTGGTAAATAACATCACAACATCCAGTATGAGAATGGAGATGGAGGCATTAACAGCAGCTTTCCGATGGCTTGAGAGCAACACAACATTCTCCACATAGGCCTGCATTGCCTGATAAAACTTCTTCTTTGTTCACCGGCTGTAAGCTCCAGTGGAATGTCCTGACTGTTCGTCAATTTAGACTTTGGCTTTGTGTCAAGGCCTGAATTTTGCATGTACATTCGTTTTACTGGCTTGTTTGTGTGTAGTATGTTGTTTCTTGCCGCTCAGGCAGATGCCCTCTAACTTCAAAGGAAGCTTCCAATTAGTCGACTCCTACGACATGTTTGTTGGAGAGACAGTGGGTGTATGTTTGTTTTTCCCTGCAATGGAGTCACAGAACCTACACAGGGATGATGAGGATAAAACTCAAGATCAGAAGCATAGCATGGATTTTATGTCCAGGACATTAAGCTGTGCAAGGCTCATAATGAGTGGGATAGATTGGCTGCTGTACTGTTAGTGCCACTCCTGTCAGTGCTGAAGGCTCTCTAGGATCAAATGGGCAGTGTGAGAGACTTCATACCTTGAAAGACTAATTCAATGATGGTGAGTACAGGACATATTCTGGAAGATATTTATCAGTGAGAGGGAATCCTAGGGTCATTAGGTGGACTTCTGATCAGGTTGCAGCTGGGGCTATCCTCTGAAAAACGGTCCCAAATTATCGAGGCTAAGAAAATATCTAAACAGGGCCTCAATGATTGTGCCGCCAGGAAACTGCACTAAATTTTAAGTAAACAACGCACAACTAGTGCCGCCGTGGTAACGCAGGGTCCGCATAAGTTCCATCCATAACCAGTCAATCGACAGTGTCGCGGTTCCACTGTTGTGACAGATTCTGGTGGCAGTGTTGTAATTGCAATACTCCTAGCCCTAACCTAGGACCAAGGGAAAAAGTTAAACCTAGGACCCAGGGAGAAGTTAAACCCAGCACTCAGTGTTGGAGCTGTTGACACCCTCGATAATTTGGGACCATTATTCGGAGGAGTGTTTCCCTTGGTATGTGAATATTCCCTGGAAGGAAGTCAGCAATTTACGTATGATTGAGGCCTTCTTATGGTTTTTTCGGCTATCTTCAGAATAACAGTCCCTAATTATACCCTAACAGGGCCTCAGTCGCATGTAAATTGCGGACTTCCGCCACCGCCGAGAGTATCTCCCATGCGGCTACGTGCAACGGGGCTAAACTACATGGCTGGGACTCCAAGCAAATAAAATGAAGGAAGTTGCAGAAGATGCGGTAGCTACTGCTCAGGAGTCCAAGCTATCTAGTTTAGCCCCAATCCACACCGCGCATAGCGGCGTGGGAGATACTCTCGGCGGTGGCGGTAGTCGCCAAAAGTGCTCAATTTAAGTCGCCGGAAGTAAGCAATTTATATGTGACTAAGGCCCTGGCAGGGTATATTTTCTTAGCCTCTATAATTTGGGACCGTTATCCGTTATTTGGAGAATAGCCCAGCTGGTATCATTGGTTGATTAGTATGTGGACTCTTCTTGGGCTGTGGAGGAAGGAGATGAAGCATGTGTGGGAATGTCCCGAGTGCTGTCCTGGCAATTTCTCATTCAGTTTTTCAAAAAACTTCAATAAGTATCAAGTTCGTTAACTATATAAAAAAAAATATAATAACAACGCAAACTGAAACGTGTGACAACTGTGTCAAAAATAAATTTCAGTTCAGTAGTTCAGAATCAATTGGAAAGTAGAGCTCAATTCTCAAATTCTTTTTTTATTTTTATTTAACAGTAACAATTTATTTTACCTGCGCGATGAGCTTCTTCTTAGTAACACTATCCCGACCGGCATCTTCTTTGATTCTCTGAGTTAGCTGAATCTGCTTGGTCTTGAAACTCAGATTCGTGACATTCTCGCCTTTTGGTAACTTCTTGCCCACTTTCAACTTGACTTTCTGAAAATCCCGAGTCTTCTTCTTCTTTGATTTCGGCATGATTATGGGCTGAATAAAATTATCTTTGGCAGAAAAACAAATATGTTAACCACACAACAATAATTAATTATTAACAGCAACTCCTTCTTGCGCAAAGCATGGAAAAGAACTCCAGCCACGATTGAATGTTATTGAAAAACACAGTCCGGCCACACCGGAAAGCGTGAATTATCGAGACCAGGGCTGTCAAAGTATTTTTGGACATAGTACCAAATGTAATTTGAATGAATCATTACTGAATATGGCAAACTACTAAACATAAAATTTGCCTAGAAAAAGCACACAGGTTGAGATTAGTTCTGCAACGTCCTGTGAAGGATACGCAACTAACCATTACTGATTTGAGAATCGATATCATAGCACAGAGGTCATACCTATAGATACTCCGTCTCTCGATATCATCAAGAGAACTGTTCCAGGCAACCAGGGATCGTGATCTGTGAAGATGCACGAGCGCCTATGCCAGTGGGCAGGGCACATGATGTTGATGACACTACAAATCACTTGGAACAAAAAGTTCCCGAATTTAAAATGTTCATGCCAGATTTGTCAAAAGTATCAAAACCAGATTATTAATTTTACTCGCAAGGGTATGAAAGTAACAAATTTGTACGAAAGTACCAACTTCGACAGCTCTGACTGCGGACTTTTATCGTTTGCTGCCGCAGCAAACTCCAGATGGTCCTCTCCTCGTAGTATTATCCCCTTGTGATTTTCGCAGTGCACATTTTTGGATGTTCGGGTGAGGATGGGTCAGGGTTGGTGGGGCAGGGGGGGAAAAGGGGGGGGGGGCGGGAACAGACCAATTGTCATCCAAAGATCATGAGGGAAGTAGAAGGTAAAGAAAGAGAATGAAATAATAAGACCGCCGGACATACATACTGATAGACGTTGATGACTAGAGGCTTGTAAAAGCATACTTTACTGTCAAAGATTCCTGAGAGTTAACGCTCGAGCTATACAGATTCATATTTTACTGTTAAAGATTGCCGGGACTAGTCGTTGGAGCTATAGTTTCATACTTTGTTAATTTATTCATGGGGTTGTCGTTGGAGCTGTGGAGTGTTGGGTTATGCAGGTTAATCTAAGCGGGCGATGCCAATCACGAGGAGAGAACGAGTTTTGCGGGACCAAAAGCCTTTTGCACGTCTTTGAACAAAACAAAAAAAAATAATTTGCAACACAACCGAAATATCACACTCACACGCGATATACTCATTTTTAACGAATAACATAAATAATTAGCATATTGAGAATTATTAAACACATTTCCGAATGATTTGTGTTGAATTATGTTAACCCCTGGAAGTCCAATAATATAGGAGTTTTACAGTTTGTAATAAAACACCGACTAACCCAGACTCTTAACACCCCTGTAATGTTGCACTTCCCCTGTGTTTGCGGTGAAAACAAAATAAAATGAAAACATTTAGGTGTCATAATAATAATAATAATAATAATAACAACAATGCCCTGCATATAGAAAAATAAAATAATAAGTGCTTCCTTAAAATCTTACCCAAATAAGGGAAAATCCACAGGTCATGGGACAGTTTAATATTTCACGGGGTGGTAGATAAACTACATGCGGTCGTGGGGCCTAGGCTGCATGCAGTCGTGGGACCTACGCTGCACTCTCTCGTGGGACGTAGATGGGCTGGGGTTAGGGCCTGTTCTAGATGTTCTGGGGTCGTTAAAAGCATCAGAAAGCCGTGAAGCCCAGTCTTACATCCCTCTAAAATGTTGCTGTCCTGTGACGTCATCTAGGGGTAAGATTACGAAGGAACCTAATAATTTATTTTTTAAACGTCGTATTACAAACACATACTTGAAAAGATAACTTCTATTCATGGTTGGATTAGGGAATGGGGGACAGTTTAGTATTCTTTGAAATTTAAGGGGTGGATCCTGACTGCCACCTCTCCACAAACTACGGGAGCATCAACGGGCATTAGGCCGTAGCCGTAGGTTCTAGTGCTGCTGACCGAACATAATATTCATTGTTGCAATACAATACAACTTCCTGAGAGGTGACATTCAGTACTCGTAAATGTAATCTTTGCAGTAGTAAAATCAGACTGCACGACGTCAGTCAGCGTCACTCAACTTAGTCGTTTCTGATGTTTGAAAAAAAAAAACATTTTTCCTGAAGCCAGTATTATAGAAATAAACACCACCATGATGTAAAACACAACATGCAAGAAGTCATAATCACTAGAGGGGAAAACAATCATGCCTGCAGTAAACCACTGATTGTTTTGATTGTCTGGGTGAATGATTTCCGTCATATAATTCGATAACCCCGTACCTAACATGCAACAAAAAAGCATTTACGTGGTTATCTCCGATCTGGTATACCGTAATGGATGGAAGACCATCAGCTGCAATCGACACCACTCCAGTGACTGAAACTACACACGCACATTTCCTTCCTGGAGTCAACAAAGATTTCTCTACATGAGCGCGTGAACCTGGGAGCTTTTGCTCCCTTGCTCCGCTCCCGGTTCTTTTACTATGTTTTACCCTATCTCAGCGACACCGAGATTTCGTAGGGAATTCCTTGGAAAGTTCAATATCATAGGGGGTTAGGGTTAGTCGGTGTTAATTTCGCATCTTAAAACCCCAATAATAATAGACTTTCCTGGGAATTCCATACGGAATCTTGGAGTCGCCTAGATGGGGTGTTATAAAAGAGAGGGGGGAAAAAAACTTCTCCACCTACACGCTTCCCCTAAACAATTGTGTTTATTTCAACATATTGTCTTTTTTTTCTTTTTGAAGTAAATATAAGTTTCTACAGTCTCAGTGGTTCATCATCTGTTCTGTTAAGTCCTTTACTCAGATTTGCTGTACATTTATAATCACGTGGTCTTTTTTTTTTTTTTTTTTTTTTACTTTTTAAATAGGACATTGAATGTTCTACACGGAAGCTCTTACATCTCAAGATGGCCCATCTAACATGCGTCTGGTCTCCAAGTGAAGGACCCTCTAGGATTTAAATCCATCCTTCCCTCACTTTCCTAGCTAGCACGTGAGGTTCCATCGCGAATGCTCCCAACTGTTTCCTTTTACAAACGCACACTGCGAAATTATAATGTAGCGGGAAAGTACCAACTCGGAGAGGTTAGCGGTTTTTTGAGAGCCAACTAGTATACTTTTATCCCCGTGTGAGTTTCGCAGCTCTATTTTTGGAGGTTCGGATGAAAATTCGCTGGGTGGGTGGGGAGGGGGGAGGACAGATCCATTGTCACTCAACAAGCATAATGGAAATAGAAGGTAAAGAAAAGAGAATGGAATAATGAGACCGCCGGACATACATATTGACAGACGTTGATAAACTGACCCGTTTGGTTCACAATTACAATTCCTATGGGGATTTATATACTTTGAGGCTCGTGCTTTGTAATAATCTTCCGCATTGTAGTTAGACGGGGGGCTATTAAAGACTAAGAAAGGTCCAACCAGAAAAGTGCCTGTCTACTTGCTAACACAGTTCAGTGCAACTGAGCATCAGTTCAGTGCAACTGAGCAACAGTTCAGTGCAACTGAGCATCAGTTCAGTGCAACTGAGCAACAGTTCAATTTCATCGACAGCCCACTACAACTCTATAACAGTTCCCTGTAAATAAACAACAGTTCAATGCAAATGACAGTTCATTGTGCCTGAGCTACAGTTCAGTATGACTGAGGAACAGTTCGCTACAACTGACCAACAGCCAACAGCAATTAAAAGACAGCTCACTACAACTAAAGAATAGCCCACTGCAACTGAACAACAGTTCAGTGCAGTTGACCTAACGCTCACTTCAGCTGGACAACAGTTCAGTGCAAATTAATCAAAGGCTCACTGCTACTGACAAACAGTTCACTGTAACTAAGCAAAGCTCACTGCAACTGATCAAAGCTCACTATAGCTTCATAACAGTTCAGTACAATTTACCAAGTTAGTGTTAGTCGAGTGTTCATTTCGCACCTTAATACCCCTTTAATATTGGACTCTCCCGGGAATTCCATATGAAATCTCTTAGTTTCCTAGATGGGGTGTAGTAAAAAAAAAAAAAACAAGAAACCCTCTCCACACCTATACCCTTTCCCTCAACAATTGTGTGTATTTTCTGTATTTCTATTTATTTCAATACATCGCCTGTTAAAGAAAAAAAAAAAAAAAAGTAAATATACGTTTCTAGTCTCAAGGGTTCATTATCTGTTAAGTCCCTTACTCAGATTTACTGTAAATTTACAACAACGTGCTCTTTTTAACTTTTCTACTATGACATCGCATTTTCATCATCTCAAGATGGCCTATCCACCATGTGTCTGGTCTCCAAGTGATGGACCCTAAGGTATTCACACGTACGCCTCCCGTCACTTTCCGTGCTATCAAGAGAGCTCCTATCGCGAATGCTCCCAAATGTTTCCTATTACAATCGCACACTGCAAAAATTATAATGTTGCCGGACAATACCAATTTGGAAAGGTTAGCGGCTTGTGGAGAGCCAACTCGTACAGAAGTTATCCCATGTGTGAGTTTCGCAGCGCCAATTTTGGATGTTCAGGTGAGGATGGGTTAGGGTTGGGGTGGGGGTAGGAAGAGTGGAACAGACTTATTGTCATCCAACAATCATGAGGGAAGTAGAAAATTGAAAAAAGAAAACAGAAAAATAATGAGACCACTGGACATACATATTGATAGACGTTGTGGTACCCCAACATAAGTGTGCCATATGGCTGTTTGGCTGAATAGGGTTTTCGGGATTTGTGCCTGTATGGGGTGGGGGGGGGGGGGGGGGGGATAAGAGGTAACTAAACACACACAGATATCGAGGCTGGAAAAAGGAAAAGACTCCTCCTGCGCCAATTGCACATCGAACATATACTATTTTTAAAAGCTGCCAGCACTAGGTTCGGCGTCTGTGGCTTAGGCGTTGCGAACGAGCTTCGCAATGCCGGGCTGCCTGGTTTTATCCCAGCTGCGGCCCTTGCGCCTTGCGTTGGCTTCG